TGAGAGCATGAAAAAAATCTCTACCAACATACGCAGGAGCGCTTTGCCAATACTAAAGGGCAAAAGATAGGCAAAGAAAAGTCGGTCTTTAAAAAATTAGTCCATTGTGTGGGCGAAAAATGACGGGAAGGAGGCATGACGTGTCGGCTTTTCCGATAGAATGGGAAGGGAAAAAAGGGCATCATCGGAGATTGATTTGGGTTTTTGGGTAGACCGGAGTTTTTCCGGGGTGAAATGGGTGGCATTTTTGAAAATGCCGTACCGTACAGGGAAGGGGGGAAGCATAGTCAAAGGAGAGCGGAGGCAACAAATCGAAGGGGTCATCGAAACCCCGGTACCTAAAGCGGGTGAGGGAAAAAGCACCAGCAAGAGGGACAGGCACAGGAGTGTCCGGGGTGGTCTAAAAATAACAGGGCAAAATGGGGTCCGGGGGGAGTAGGTTCTGGGTTGGGGGTTTCCCTTTAGGTTACCCTTTGCTTTTTGTTTTTTAAGAAAAAAAAAGAAAAGAAAAAAAAAAAAAAAAAAAGAATAAAAGGGGGGGAGCGGGGGGGAAAATTTCCCAGGAGGGAAAGAAAGGGCCGGAAATCTCCCTCCCCACCCAAGGGGCCTCAGCACCGCTATAGCGCAGATGCAGCATGGAACCTGTGCCATCCCCACCCCTTTATGCCAGTAAACCAGCAATCCGGGGTAGCAACCTCACATCGCGGCTACCCTGGCAAAAGAGAGGGCGGCCGATATCCCTACAAAACATACCTCCTTCGGCCCCCACCCCCGAATCCGAAAAGGGGGCTTCCATAAACACCGTCCCGAAAGACACCCAAAGCTACTCCGGGATACCGAGAGGGATCGGGGCACCCCAGGCGTCCAGATTCCACGGAAAAACTACGCCACCCCCCCAAGAACCTCAACGGAATGGGGTGGACCCCGGGGTCCTTTCCCCTACCTAGGAAAAGCGCGCCTGTGGGAGAAATCCCAAAGGCCAAAAAGAAGGGCAAAAAAGGGGGAGGGGGGGGGGAAAAGGAAAAAGGGGGGGGATGGGGTAGGGGGTGGGGATTGGGGGTAAAGGTTCAGTCTGAGGAAGGGGACCGACAGTCTATTCCTCAGACCAGAGCCTCTTCACCACAACAAGGAGCCCCCCTTGAAGATTCCCTAAGCAAATTTATGGCAGTTGAAGGTTAATTTGTTCATTTCTGTTATTCATCCCAAATGAGCTCTAAAACCCTTAAAGGCCCGAGCACTTGAGAGAAATGGAAGGCATCGGAAAAGTATTCAAAGTGTAACCCAAGTGGAAAAAAAACCCAAATTCAAAACTGCAAACAAAGGGTATATAGATTTTTCCTCAAGAAAATTAGATTTGGTTAAAATTAGTCCTCCCCCCTACCCTGCTAAATCCTATGGGTTTTTGTGCTTCCCTATGATTATAAAAATCCCCCACCCTGATGATTTATGCTGAGTTCCTTAATCATGGGGTGAAAATTGATAATTATCCTAGGGGTATTAACATGAAAAAAGCTAAAAGCTAAAAAGGGAAAGGGATGGGGGTAATCCTATTTAAATTACATGAGGTTCATTAACCCTTTTACTGTCGTAACCCCAAATCTTGAAGTGTCTCCTGGGTCCAAAAAATTTTTTTTAAAAAAAAAAAATTATAAATGATAGGGGAAACTTTTCCTGGGGGAATACCCAAAAGTATGAAATTTAAAAGAAAAACTTTTCAGAATTACCTCCCGTGAAGTTGCGATCTCAGCGAAAAATAGCTCGGGGAATTTCGCCGACTTTTAGCCCGTTTTTTGGGCCCAAATTTCCCAAAATTCCATCGACCAACCTCATAGTTTTTCTTCAGAACTCCATTTTTTTTCTGAGTACAAGAAACCGCCCATTTACAGATTTCAACTACCCAGTAAAGTGGTCAGAAATTGGCAATTTGGGGAATTTCATGCAAATTAAAAATGCCAATTCAAAGTAGGGTCCAGAATAAACGATGCAAACATTCTTGACACTAAAATAACATATCCTCTGTTGATTAGTCATGTCTCCAGGCCCTTCTTACATTACTCTTGCTTTTTATTTTTATTTTTTATTCACACAAAAAATAGAAGATTTACCATTATGCAGACTACTGCATTATTGTAAAAATGGCATAAATAAATAAAAAAAAAGTTTTTGGATTCAAACGCTGACTTTGAGGTGTATTTTCCTATAGTATTTATGGTTGTATTCTCGTTTTTGTGGTCTCGTTGATAGAATGGAAAACATATTCCAGAATTTTTATATAATAATAATATTAAAGAAAAATTCTGTAATATGTTTTCCATCTATCGAATGAGACCACAAAAACGAGAATACAGCCATAAATACTGTAGGAAAATACACCTCAAAGTCAGCGTTTGAATCCAAAAAGTTTTTTTTCTCTTGTGCACTGAGTGCTGCAGGATTTTTTTTTTATACATGCACACAGACCCATTCTCTCACATGGGGCCTACAAGCTTTCTACTGCTTGACTTGAAGACGCTAGAATTATCGAGTATATATACGTACGAAACACTGGCTCGTAAGACGTGTGTATACGGCCGAAACAATCAAAGGGTTAAGGCTGCATGTAACCTATTCATCACAAGTTGAGAATATTTTAATCCTAAAATGGAATAAACTAAACCGTGTATGTGTGTACATATACCTAGAAAACGCCTGTTTATTACAACAGTGTACAGTGGACCCCCGCATACCGTCGCCATCACATAATGTACAATCCGCATACCGCTCGCTTTTATCGCAAAAATTTTGCCTCGCATACCGCTCAAAAACCCGCTCTTCGTCCGAGACGCGTCCAATGTGCGCCCTTAGCCAGCCTCACATGTGCCGCGCGTGGCATTGTTACCAGCCAGCCTCCGCGGTAACATCCAACATAACAATCGGAACATTTCGTATTATTACAGTGTTTTTGGTGATTTTATCTGCAAAATAAGTAACCATGGGCCCCAAGAAAGCTTCTAGTGCCAACCCTACAGCAATAAGGGTGAGAATTACTATAGAGATGAAGAAAAAGATCATTGATAAGTATGAAAGTGGAGTGCGTGTCTCCGAGCTGGCCAGGTTGTATAATAAACCCCAATCAACCATCGCTACTATTGGTGGTACAGCTGCTGCTGCTGCTGTACCACCGTCAGCTGCTGCTGCTGCACTGTCAGCTGCTGCTGCTGCTGCTGCTGTAGCACCGTCAGCTGCTGCTGTAGCATCGTCTGCTGCTGCTGTAGCACTGTCAGCTGCTGCTGCTGTACCACCGCAGCTGCTGCTGCTGCTGTAGCATCGTCTGCTGCTGCTGTAGCACTGTCAGCTGCTGCTGCTGCTGTACCACCGTCAGCTGCTGCTGCTGTAGTACCGTCTGCTGCTGCTGTAGTACCGTCTGCTGCTGCTGTAGTACCGTCTGCTGCTGCTGTAGCATCGTCTGCTGCTGCTGTTGTACCACCGTCAGCTGCTGCTGCTGTAGTACCGTCTGCTGCTGCTGTAGCATCGTCTGCTGCTGCTGTAGCACTGTCAGCTGCTGCTGCTGCTGCTGTACCACCGTCAGCTGCTGCTGCTGCTGCTGTAGTACTGTCCTGCTGCTGCTGTAGTACCGTCTGCTGCTGCTGTAGCATCGTCTGCTGCTGCTGTAGCACTGTCAGCTGCTGCTGTAGCACTGTCAGCTGCTGCTGTAGCACTGTCAGCTGCTGCTGTAGCACTGTCAGCTGCTGCTGTAGCACCGTTGTTGGTGTGGCTTATTGAGAATACCAAGAAACAATTAACCCCAGAGGATTTGCCACCCAGGATAACCCAAAAAGTCAGTGTCATCGAAGACTGTCTAACTTATTTCCATTGGGGTCCTTAATCTTGTCTCCCAGGATGCAACCCACACCAGTCGACTAACACCCAGGTGAACAGGGAAAAATGCCTGGAACTAGTGCTCATATTGGTGAATTTAAAGCCAGCAAAGGTTGGTTTGAGAGATTTAAGAATCGTAGTGGCATACACAGTGTGATAAGGCCTGTTCTGGAAGAAAATGCCAAACAGGACCTACAGTACTCAGGAGGAAAAGGCACTCCCAGGACACAGTGTCTCATCAGTCTTTGGGCGGGCAATCTTCAATAAAGGTAAGTGTCATTTATTCTTCATTTAGTAGAGTAGTACATGCACAATATATATTGTGCATATACTACTCTACTACTGTGCATGTATCCTTCTCTTTGTGTGTAGGAAAATGTATATTTCATGTGGTAAAAATTTTTTTCATACTTTTGGGCGTCTTGCACGGATTAATTTGATTTCCATTATTTCTTATGGGGAAAATTCATTCGCATACCGATCATTTCGCATAACAATGAGCCCTCTTGCACGGATTAAAGTCGCTATGCGGGGGTCCACTGTACTAGGTCCACTGCATCATGTCTGGACACAGACAAATGTCCTATGTAGCAGACTGTTTGCTGTGTCTGATCATACCAGACTTACTAAAACTGTAATACAGTACAGTAAATTACCTGAAAACAAAACTTATAGTACAGCAACTTTTTTTTTTCTTTTTTTTTTTTTTTTTACCTTTACTGGTGGACAGCCGAGCTTGGGCCATTTTCACGTAATCCCAAGAATCGATCGATGCTTTTTTTTTTTTCTTAGTATGCACACTGAGTATAAGTGTGTGTGTGAAAAAGTTTATCTTTACTTCTAGACTGCTTTGATAAGTTATACTTACACAATGTTGCCAACATGCCAGATTCCACCTTCCTTATTTGCTAGTACATAACTAGGTCAAGGGAAATATGGGTCGGCATGTTACAAAAACTTCCTTTTGATTAAATACCTCGAGGCTTTTGATCAAATTCAAATTGGTTGCAAATGCAGTACACAATTACACATGTTAGATAAGTTGCCCATTTCTTTGTTTCAATTGCTTTCACTGCTGCATGGCACTGTTTAGAATAACAGTAATTTCATTGCTGTAGATTATGAAGATTAAAAAAAAAAAAAAGGGGGGGGTTCAAAACTTTATTTTTTTTTTTTTAAATTAGTCACACCATCTTGCAAATGCTTTACTCTTAATCCCAGATGTAATTACACTGACATATGCACACACAATTTTTCAATTAATTTTTTATAAGATTCATAATTTATATATTACAAGTGTTACCTGTGAAGCTGCTTTATTTTAATATTCAATAAGTTACTTTTAAAAATTTGTAAAATTTAAACTAAAATGATAAATAATGTAAATGTATTTACCCTTTAGTAAAGAACATCACTGACAGACATCCCATTATAGGATGGTCAACTCGCCCCACATGAACGTTTTTTGTCCAAATATTCCCACTTTATTGATTACCTGGTCAAAAAAGTCTACGATAATGTACCTTGCGGTTACACAGCATAATGGATACAAATTTCTAAAAGTAAATTTAATATTTCGGTTCATTTCATACATCTTATTTACCTTTAGAAGTCAATAATGCTACAAAAACTTTAGTAGTAGTATGTATGAAATTCATAATTATACAGCCTCTCCTCACTTAGCGATGTACTCGTTTACCAACGACTCGGACTTACTCTGACCAGTATGCATACCTAAATAATGTATATTAGAGCTGATTTTCTCTGTTCTGTTTATTACAATATACAGTACACTACTGTATAAACATTGAAAAATATACCAGAAATGTTATAAATGGTGCCAAGGTGACATTAAAAAAATATCAAAGATGGTTGACACAAACCCACTACCATTATAGTATGCCCCTCACTTAGCAACGAATTCGTTTACTGACAAAGTCTCAGGAACAGAACTCCGTCGTTAAGTGAGGAGAGGCTGTAATATATTTTTATGTCTCGGATATCAATGAGCTGCCATAAACCTTAAACAGTTCAGAGAATACATTCTTCAATGCCCTTTCTAACTCTGCCTCTGTTATCCTTCCACCCTTGCTATTCTATGATCCAGCAACACCCCCTGCCCTGCAGCACTGTATGACCTAGTGGGTTTAGCACTTTTTTTATTATAATAATCTTCAATGCAATTTCTTTTCAGATCACAAAGTCAGGATAGAAGCTTTCATATCTTCTTCAAAGACTGGATGACGCCTTCATATCAGAGGCAACACAATTTGCATTGTACTTGACAATTTATTGTGAATGATACTTTATATATTACATTTAAAAGCTGTAAGACTTGCAATTTTACTATTTGTTTATACGTATAATAAAATTACATTTTAAAAATATACTTGCACTTTATGAGCAATACACTTCATTAAAATTAATGTCAAGTGATTTTTCTTTACAGGTTAAGAAAGGAGTGATTGATGAATACAGATTTCAGGTTACATTCTTGTTAACTTCTACAGGCTCATGATCTTGCAATACAATAAAACATGAAATAATACACACATCAAAATCCAGTGTAATGTTCCAGTCAAGAAAAAATACATCTGAATACATTACAAAGGCAAAATTTTAAAATGCTACATAGAACCTGTGTTTGTTTAGCTATAACTTGTACAAAATTGTCAAAATGCTAGTCTAGGAGTAGTTAAGCAACATAAACTGTATCACAGATAAACCAACAGTGCAAGGAACATCAGTTGAAATTTATATTTCTGCCAATGTTTCATGATATTGTACATCGATTTTTTTTTCAAACATAGCTGCAGAACCAAGTCAAATATAAACTTGCCTGATTTTCTCTAACTTTTGAAATAAAAAAAAAATGACACTAGAAAACTTTACTATAACTGCCTGAGCCTTTCAATTATTTCCTGTCTTTTTCATCACCCAGGAGTTCAGTGCATATGAGGAATTTGCTTTCAACCTCTTAGAAATTTGGTTTATATATTTTTTTTTTTTTTTTAAGTATCTTGACCATTTAAATTCCATTGTATACTGAAAGAAAGGTTATCATTAATTATTGGACACAAGGCAAGATTTCTTTACTAAATAAATATACTTAGAGTAATACCCCCATCCTCCTATCACAGGATATGGAAATATTGCATGTATTGACTGTTGATGCAGAAAATACTTGACTGCTTCCCATCTGTGAGAACTGAAAACAACTTGTCTTATATCTATGGTTGTGCAAATTGTATTACTGTACTGTATTTAAGTTACATCCCCCCCATCCTTGTCTTATGGCCGATGATATACAATACAAATGATAACTAGTATACAATATTTCCAATACTCGAGATTGAAGGGAAGTACATGTACATGTATTGTAGTACAGGTGTTCTACGGCTTCAGTGAATTGATGTACTATAGAACATTCTGCTTCAGTCCAGGGCAATTCTGCAGAACATATTCTACTACTTCAGTGATGGGAACTACTGTATGCTGCTTCACACATGGAAAATTCATAGCATCAGATTTAAAAAAAAAAAACTTTCATACTATTTTAAGGCATAAACAAACTGCATCCCTACATTAAATGCAAATCCAATGAAGAATTTCATCGTAAAGACACCATAGCACCTGATGCACTCATACTATTTGCTTCATAATTCACTGCCATGGAAAGAACTAACATTTCCCCAATATTAACACTTATCCTCAAACCTCAACACTGGTTGTTAATGCTCACTTCTGTATATTAAAATGTACCAAAGAAGATTTAATCAATGAAGAATTTTGCATTTGAAATGCACACTAAAAAGCAAATGTCCTTCAACAGTAATATAAATGCAATTTTGTTTTGATTTAAACAAAATACTTTCTTAATCATCTTGAAATATACTTTCAGTCTACAGTGCCCTAAGTCAACATGATTTCATTCAATAGAAACTTTGAATATATTCTAGACACTGCACAGATCAAATTAGTCTCTTTTACTTATTCCAATTACTTGTATGTTACCGAGTAGAGGCCTCTAGGAAAACTGAAAACCTGGGAGGTGTCATTAGCCATAAACCACAGTGATCAATACAATGCTGGGCCACTTACAATATAATGCCACTTGGAGATGATGTCATACATCACCCAATCAATTATGGCTACATATGCCTTTACTCAAATGTAAAGATAATGATTATGTATATATGTACACATGCTTAATTACTATGTTTATATACAAGGAGTGGGATATCTTATTGAGCTATTTAAAGATAGGATCAGTGGTGGTCGACAAACTGTGCAAGGCGAGGATGCAAGACCGTATTGTAAGGAAGGCCATGTCTACGGAGAGTGGCAGCAGCCAGGCACTGTAAAGAGGTATGGTGTAGGGGATTTATTAGTTGGTGAAGACGCTGCATACGAGAGGCACGTAAGGAAGCAAAGCTCTGGCCAGATCTATTAAGAGTATCAAGGTGGGCACCAGCAGCAAGAAGCACAATTAGCAGTTCTCGTCGACACTGCTTGTTGCTGGCTAGTGTATGGAGTGGGGTATTGCCCTGATGGTCTGTGGCACAAGAGTCTGCCCCAACTTCTAATAATAGAGCTACAACCTCCAAACTTGGGAAGGTACATATTGGAAATCTTCCAACCGTTGCTGATGAGTCCTTTGAGCAAGCCAAATGTAAAGGAGTTACGCCTCCTGACCCACGTGGATCCAGGCGTATTAACTGATACACTGCTTTTCTCATGGTGTGTCGTTGTAGTGGAGTTAAACCAGGTCCTAATTTAGTAAGCAAACAAACCAGATGCATAGTTATTACAAGGGTACGGTGAAAATAAGTAGTATCACGCTCTCCACCATTTGCTAATATACCATTACAGCCATTTACAATCTTGCTAAGCTGATACATGCCTACTTCAACCTCTCGCAAACATTTTTCAAACACTCGCATCATATCACAAAAGTTTACCACTGGCACTCTCCTGCCACGGTTTTTAGCTTCACTCATCATAAAAGAGAATAATTCAGCAAATGAAACAAATGAGCTTTGTGTCATTGGACTGAGAGGCTCAAGGATCTTCTGCTGCATATCCAGTGCATACATCCAAAGAGTTATACATCGATCAAAGTTTCCAGTGTCAGCATAAACAGCCCCTCGATACCGGATGTAGTAACTAGTGTCAGGATGGGCTGGTCCAAGAATTCTCTCCCTCACAAGTAATGCTTGCATTCTCATTTCATCTGGATCTGAAATAATCTCTTCAAGCTGCTGCAAGGTCATCACTTCTACAGAGTTTTCGTATGCAGCAATAGGAGACTGTTGTATCGGTTTTGGGTATATCATTATACCATTTTCATATCTGAAATTAAAAAATGATATATCAGCTTAAAATCTGTACTTATATTCAAGGTGTGGTAAAAGACTGTTTTAAAAATATCTACCTGATGAATGTAGAAAAACAAATGAACCAAGGCTTAAAAAATAAAGGCCAAGGTATTTATTTGTTCTAAACATCTTTCTTTAATATTAATAATATCAGAGGTTGGTGGATGAATTCTGTATAGTCCTTGTGGCTTAGCGCTTCTTTTTGATTATAATAATAATAATGGTGGATGAATTTGGTAGGGTATGTAAAAGAAGAAAATTAAAAGTGAATACAGTAAAGAGTAAGGTTATGAGGATAATAAAAAGATTAGATATCAGATTGGAGGGAGAGAGTATGGAGGAGGTGAATGTATTCAGATATTTGGGAGTGGACATGTCAGCAGATGGATCTATGAAAGATGAGGTGAATCATAGAATTGATGAGGGGAAAAGGGTGAGCGGTGCACTTAGGAGTATGTGGAGACAAAGAACTTTGTCCTTGGAGGCAAAGAGGGGAATGTATGAGAGTATAGTTTTACCGACTCTTATATGGATGTGAAGCATGGGTGATGAATGTTGCAGCGAGGAGAAGGCTGGAGGCAGTGGAGATGTCATGTTTGAGGGCAATGTGTGGAGTGAATATAATGCAGAGAATTCGTAGTTTGGAAGTTAGGAGGAGGTGCGGGAATGCCAAAACTGTTGTCCAGAGGGGCTGAGGAAGAGTTGTTGAGGTGGTTCGGACATGTAGAGAGAATGGAGCGAAACAGAATGACTTCAAGAGTGTATCAGTCTGTAGCGGAAGGAAGGCGGGGTAGGGGTCGGCCGAGGAAAGGTTGGAGGGAGGGGGGTAAAGGAGGTTTTGTGTGCGAGGGGCTTGGACTTCCAGCAGCATGCGTGAGCGTGTTTTGATGGAGTGAATGGAGACAAATGGTTTTTAATACTTGACGTGCTGTTGGAGTGTGAGCAAAGTAACATTTATGAAGGGGTTCAGGGAAACCGGCAGGCCGGACTCGAGTCCTGGAGATGGGAAGTACAGTGCCTGCACTCTGAAGGAGGGGTGTTAATGTTGCAGTTTAAAAACTGTAGTGTAAAACACCCTTCTGGCAAGACAGTGATGGAGTGAATGATGGTGAAAGTTTTTCTTTTTTTGGGCCACCCTGCCTTGGTGGGAATCGGCCAGTGTGCTAATAAAAAAATAATAATAATAATTTCATTTTGTATGAAGATACATTTATGTCAAAGATTGGTTTACAGTACTGGCATCAATTTCTTACATGGAAAACCAAGTTTTTCAAAGCATTTTGGGCAGACTTAAATAGGAGTAATAATAATGAGAAGTATTATACATGATAACACCAAACTTAATGAATATGTTGGCCAATTAGTAAATACACTTCAGCATAATGCAGTGGAACGTCAAGGAAAATTTGCATTATTGTACACCCCTCCCCCTATTAGTTTGTTAATGAGAAGTTTCACTGTATGTCTGACCATCAGTTAACACAGTACGTAGTTACATTCCTGAAAGAGACTTGTAATAAAAAAATTGCGTAAAATGAACCAAAGAACACAGGAAAAATAGGGTTATGTTCTCTACCCCCCCCCCCCCAAAAAAAAACAACTGGGGGTCTCAAAACTGTAAAAGACAATGATGATAATGTAATAGGTCAATGTAGTGATGTGTTATAGTTAATACAATACTTATAGCTACACAGATTACATATATATGTCTTACCTAAAATTCTGGTTGCTGGTGTATGTTAATTTTAAATGGAGTAGGATGATGATGTAGCCCTACTGAGCTGATATAGAAGGTTGTGGATTGTTGGCTGAGGTTCTTGCACTAACGATGACAATTGCACTAGAGTAGTGAGGAATTCTATAATGTGTGTCTGATGTGATTTCCCCTGTACATAGTTCTTTATACAGCTAATGGTAAGACATCACCAACTGCTCCAGACCCAATTTCAGAGCAGTGCTTCCAGATCTGTCAGGGTCCTCTTCAGTGAAAAGAGTATGCAACTCAACTACTAATATGGAACTGCTCATGTAACTGTTGCAATACTAACTTTTTCTTCAGGTTCTTCTTCCTTATTTTTGTTATCTGCCTCACCTGTACAGTGGACCCCCGGTTAACGATATTTTTTCACTCCAGATGTATGTTCAGGTGCCAGTACTGACCGAATTTGTTCCCATAAGGAATATTGTGAAGTAGATTAGTCCATTTCAGACCCCCAAACATTGTGATGTAGTCCAGCTGGGCTTGTGAGGTCTCTGGGGAGACCTAATTTAACCAATTATATGGTCACACCTTGCCTTGGCAAACGTCTGTAGCCACGCCCACGTCTGAGGTCTTTTGTTCTTGACGGCGTCAGACCTAGGCGCCAGGTCGTACACGTGGTTGTGGAGGGTGCTTGGACCACGATATAAGCCCAAGGAACAGCTGAGCAGAGGAGATTCAAGCGGAGCTGCTGCTGGGGTGCAGAGCTCCTGAGCAGAGATTCGAGCGGAGCTGCTGCTGGGGTGCAGGGCTCGGGAGAAGGCTGCTGAAGTCTCTGGAGGAGACTGTTGGAGGCATTGGGCAGAGTACTGGCTTGGCGCAGTACTGGTGCTGTGTAGGTCTTGGGACCTGTGGCTTAGTTCCTGTAGTGAACTGTCCTCTGAACTATATTGTAAGTTACATTCATTTTGGTCAAGCTAATTGTATTCCCTGTCTCACTGCTTATGTGTACCACCCCATTTGTCTAAACACAATAATGTTCTCCTGTTCCCAAATATATTATTGTACAAAGACTTAATAATAAACTGTGTTTGAGTAGAATAGTAATATTCACTGTCCCCGTTATTTATTCTTTTTTCTTATATTTTATTATGTTTATATGAGTGAAGAATGGGCGAGGCATATGTTAGTGAGTAGTGTAGAGTTAATGAGAGTGTCGTGGTGGTCACCACTGACCTGTCATTACCTACCTACCTCCGCTAATCATCTCACTCCTACCACCTCGCCTGCCTCTCCCCTGCCTACATAATCCCTTACTCCCATATTCCCCACTTATATCCGATTCATTCCGATACCCCCCTACATGACAACATACACATACAAACGCACTTACATAAATACACTTACATAATTGGTCGCATTCGGAGGTGATCGTTATGCGGGGGTCCACTGTATTTGGGTTTTGAGCTCTGCCAACATTTCCTCTGTAATTTTTTGTTTATCATCTAACAGTTCATGTTTATCATCTTCCTGCATATCTTCAAAGCCCTTACAGAGCAGTCTCCTTGCCAGCTGAACAATTTCCTGGACCTGGCTCTCAAATGAGGGGAAAACCTATGAAAGTATTCACCACACTAGGCCATAACTTTCCCCAGCCAGCATTTAATGTTGACTGGGGCACTTCATTCTATACACTTTTGACAGCTGATGGCATCTGCAATGTTATATTTAGACCAAAAGTCTGGTACTCCAAGCACAGAGTCAATGTCCATTGCTGCAACAAGTTTCTGCATCACTCTGCATTTAGTTACATTTGAATGTTCTAATAATTCCAGGATTCAGTGGATGCACATCCACCAAAACTTCTGGATAAGTACAGGAATTAGCAAGAGTGTAGAGAACCTTGAATGCAAGGTTCTTGCTATACAGGTAAAACATGACTTCAGGAATAAAGCAATGCTTAAACCAGTCAATAAATAATTCCTCTGTCATGCTAACTGGTTTGACCTTCAAATAACTGGTAAGGTGGTTTTATCTGTACCTTTCAAGAAAGAACCCAGCAAGTGCCACATTTTTCACTGTATGTACTCCAACATGTTCACCAAAAATATGGCATAATTTTGCAATAGTGTTAATGAGAAAAGTTAACAAATTTCATGTCATTGATGGTATGCTGTAACAAACTACGACTAATAAATCTTTATATCTTTCCAAACCCAATGATACCCAGGTAACAAGCTTCCTACAGTATGCCTATCTGCTTGTTAATGCCCTCAATACTAACAAGATGAAGTTTGGACAAACATAATTGCCCCACTTAAATCAGGAACAGTCATTGATAGCACAATGGATCACTACCCAACTTTTCTTATAACAAATAACACCAGTGTACCATTAGAAACTGTTAAGATCAAGTTTAGAATACAGTGATGTTTCAATGAAAAACTTAATTTCAGCTCTAGATAATATAAACTGGGAACAGGAGTTACATGAAATACAGAACATCAGCTTAGCAGTAGCAACCTTCCTTAAAATAACAAAATCTTTATAATAAAAACCAAAAACCATCCACTAATGACTGAGCAAATTACAACAAAAGAAGGCTAAATAATCAATGGCTTACCAGAAGCAAAATCAGATCTATTGACAAAAAAAAATGTACTCAACAAGACATCACAAAGATACTCTGGAAAACTATTATCTCACCTTTTCACTTTTGATGACACTTTCCCCCAATTCAAAGCTTCTGTGTCACTGTTGAAAAAAAATTATCTTCTAAAATGGTTAAGAATCTTTTTCTAAAGGAAAGGACTAAAAAATTTTAAAATGTGATGTAATACTTACAGAATTATGCACATGCGAAGTTACCTAGTGTCTTCTGTACTATCCAATAGACACAAGAAACTGTCTATTCAACCATCAGAACCACTTTATAAAATACCTAGAATTTGGGAACTTGGACAATTTTATACTATTTTCAAAAAAATCCAGTTAAAAACAGTCCAAAACAGGCATTCTTGCCACTAAAGCAACCTTCCCTTTGTAATAAAGTTGGCAGAATTACCGACAATATGTAAAGTAAAAGGACACAAGTGCAACTAATGTGACATTTTATTGTGGCAACGTTTCACTCTCCAGGAGCTTTATCAAGCCATTACGAAATGGCTTGATAAAGCTCCTGGAGAGCAAAATGTTGCCACAATAAAATGTCACATTAGTTGCACTTGTGTCCTTTTACTTTACAACCTTCCCTTTATTCATTAATCATGTCCCCA